GCACAGCTCGTCCAGACTCAGCAGGGCGAGTCTCCAGCCATATTAAGTGGCCATGAGAGTCTACATTGAAGCCTTCAAGGCGTTTATCGGAACCCGAGACGATATCGGCAGTGATTGGTGACTTCCATGACCCATATGGAACACTATTTTTTTCACCAGTAGCCATAGTATCTTCAATGATCTAAAGGTTAAATGAAGTGAAGTAGCTCTTAATTCTTATATGGGGATCAAACAGAACAAAATATTCGAGAAAAGGACCAAAATTGTCCCTTGAATTTGCCTTAACACTCAAAATGATCCTCAACTTTTCATAAGGAGCACCAATAGTCCTTCTTCTTTCTAAAAATGGTGCAGTTCTAGTCTTCCTAACATTTTCTGTCAATTTACAACGTTTAGCTCCTTTTGTCCATTCATTAAGCAACAGTAAAAGTTAATTATCAAGGTCACCAAATAAATTAATTTTGATTGGCAGGATCCATTGTATTATTGGCTCCATTTATCCATTACTAAAAAAATTACTTAGTTTCTCACTTGATGTCGGGATATCCATAATGGAATTTAGCTATGTTAGAATCGCATCGCGTAGGGCTCCATTTGATTTGCATACCCAGGGTTAGAATATGAAACCTTTGGTTATGAGAGAAGCAACTTCATCTACTACACTACATCTTTTAGTTGCATAAATATACTAAATTCTTTGTCTAGAATTTCAGAAACACGCTTCATGTCTAAAACAAGAGCTTGTTAGTATCAATTAAGCATAAAATTATAATTATTATCGGGTTATGGTTACTCGTAAAGAAAAAACATAAATCGTCGTAGAATTGATAATTCAAAACAAAAAAATCTAAACCATTACCAAATTGTAAACTTTTTGAACGGTGGATCATTCAGAAACAATTTTCTATTAAGATGTGTGCATACTCTATTCTTTTCATATCCCATTTATGAAACTAAACTTGATATGCTATTATGTTTACCAAATTATAAATTTAATAAATCATTATGGATAAACCAATAATATTTTGCCAATTTGAGTTATTAATTTTGATTGTGTTTAATTTTAAGCAACCCTACCAAAGGATCGGAGGCAACACTAACATAATTATATAAATAAATCTACTCATAATAAATTATTTATTTAATGCATGACACACATGTAAGCGGCTTTCATTAGTGCTCCATATGAAATGATAAGGATCATTTTGAGTCTTAAGGTAAAGATAAGGGACAATTTAGTCCTCAAAGTGGCTTTGATAGAGAATAATAGTTAAAGGTGACAAAAAGTTTCAAAACTAAGAAAATTTGATATATATTTTTTAAAATTATTAAATAGAAGTGATTAATTTAAGATTAATGTTAGTGATATTAATTTTAATATAATGGGATAAGGGTATGAAAAATATCCAACTTTGGTCGAATTTGCTATTGCGATACTAAACTTTCATGAGGACCTATTACCTCCCTAGACTATTTAATACCGTATTTTAAACACATATATTTGCCCACGTGGACATAAAAAATAATGCAAAATTATAAATAGTAATGTGTCCACGTGGGCACATATATACCTTTAAAATACACTATTAAATAGTTCAGGGGTAAAAATACGGTATTAAATAGTCTAGGGGAGGTAATAGGTCCTTATGAAAGTTTAGTATCGCAACAACAAATCCGACCAAAGTTGGAGTATTTTTCAGACCCTTATCCCTTTTATTTACACAAAAATCTTATATATTTTCCCCTCTCTCCCCTATCCTCTCAACGTGGCAAAAATCACTTTCTCATGAATAATTTTCATAGAGAGTTCCTAATTATGAGACCTAAATATATCAACAAGATATAATTGGTATTATTAAATATTAAATTAAACTTAGCACGCGCCTCTTGGAACTAATAAGTAAAAAATATTAATAAAGACAGTCTAAACATCATCAACTATTGAAACTGGATCAATTATTTTTCTGTAGATTTGTATAACATGTGAGTCTACATAATATGTGAGGAAAGTTAGAGTTTCTTTTAAGCTCTTTATCACTTTTAAATTGTTTTTCGTTACGTAGGAATCAAGAAAATGTAAGAGCAACTCAACAAAATTGATAACTAAAATCAAACGTTAAAATAATGCCCAAAGATAATTAATAAATTTTTATATATCTCATGTGATTTTCTTAAATTCTTTTTATAAAAATAATATCCCAATTAACTTTTATATATTTGATTATTTATTTAATTATCTACCCTTCTCATCATTAAAGTTATTTATAAACAAGGGTTCAACAATACTTTTATAAGAAGCATCCACATTCAAAATGACATTTATAAGTTCTCATCACCTAATTCTTCTCACTATCCTAATTTTGTACTCCCTCCATTCCATATTAACTTAAGCTTTGAGGTGTTTCACACCCTTTAAGAAAAGTAGGCTAGGACATAAATTGAACATACTTTTCCATTTTTACCCTTATTAATTATTGTCAAAAATAACTAAACATTAATTATAATAACTAATTCCAATACTAACTTAAAGGGTAAAATTGGAAGAATATTTTAAAAATAGTCTTGAAGATTGAAAACTTAAGTTAATTTGAAAAATAAAAAATGGCTCAAAGCTTAAGTTAATATGGAATAGAGGAGTACTACTAACTAATAGATGTTAAAATATATACATATATTAAGAATGATTCAAGTCTATTTGAAATTGAATAATAATTTGGTGCCTTTTAAAAAAAAATTATATGACCACATGGTATAATTTGATCCATTGTTAATAAACAATAATTAATTCAATATCGTCTGTATGTTTCTATTATCAACATCATCATCAAATTGTTCTCCTTTTCCTCCACATATAGCGTATTTATATTATATGATTCAAGTATTTAGCTAAATAATATCTATCTTTTCTTCTAAATAACATCTGTCACACTTAAATTAAAAAAGAAGCATATATCTTTTTTTCTAAATAACATCTATCATACTTAAATTAAAAAAAGAAGCATATATTTTTTCTTCTAAATAACATCTATCACACTTTAATTAAAAAACAAGCATAAATA